CCCCACCTTTGCTCCCGCAGGACGCTCTGAGCACTTTAAGGATGCCTTTGAGGGTTCCTCCTGGGACATGGGAAACCTCTCTCTCGCCCTCTACTCTGCCCTCTTCTCTTACTCAGGTTGGGACACCCTTAATTTTGTAACAGAAGAAATCAAAAACCCAGAAAGGTAAAGGTGGGCTCGCCCTCCCGCTCCCCGGCTCTCACTCCCCAACGCGGCTGGAACAGCTGGCTCTCATCCCTCCCTCCCCAGTCTCCAGCTCAGAGGGATTCGGGGTCAGGATGGGAGTGAGCGAAGGTGGGAAAGCCGTGGCTCCTCCCCGTCATGGTCACCCTGGAGGAAACCAGGGTCCCCCCTCAAGGAGCGGTCCTTGAATGGGCAGCAGAGCCCGCTGGGGCTAAGGTGCTGGGACCTTGCACGCTGGTACTGACCCTGAGGCCTGGGGAGCCGGAGGTTTATTCTGGGCAGCCAGGTCCTCAGCCTGACCTCTAATCCCCAGGGGACACTGCTCCTTCTCCAGTGGGACCCATGGGCCCCAGGGTGGCGAGCGTCACACATTGACCATGAGCTCATGAGCTCTCTCCACAGAGAAGGGGTTCTCTTCCCCTTTCTCTCTAGGGAGCCCAGGGGCGTGGGACACATACCCATCCTGGGTCATCATGGGGGAGCGGTACCTCGAAGACCCAGAGGCCAGGGAACTGTTCAATGTCAGAAAAATCCTTGGGTGAACTTTGACCCCAGGGAGAGGCTGGTTCTAGGTCTTCCTGTCTCCCCTGTGCTGACAGGAATCTGCCCCTGGCCATCGGGATTTCGATGCCAATTGTGACGCTCATCTACCTCCTGACCAACGTGGCCTATTACACTGTGCTGAGCATTTCAGACGTCCTCAACAGCGACGCCGTGGCTGTGGTGAGTCGCTCGGGGTCCCCGTTTGCGCGTCGTCCTATGACACTGAATGGTGCGATCTTTTCGCAGCCACCCCGGCTCCGCAGGCGAGGCGAGGCGAGGGGGTCTCGGCCAGAGGGCGGGCTGCCCAGCAGGGACCGTGTTTGTCCCCACAGCCTGGATGCAGGAAGCTTAGGACACCCCGGCCCAGGCTGAGTGCGCCTCTGTGTTCTGCCCCCAGACATTTGCTGACCAGACATTTGGCATGTTCAGCTGGACCATTCCCATCGCTGTGGCCCTGTCCTGCTTTGGGGGCCTCAATGCGTCGATCCTTGCTTCATCAAGGTACTGTGTCCCTGCCCCCCTGGTAACAGACTCCACTGTTCTCTGAGGCTTTAGGTGAGCCCGGAAGAGCTCTTCTTTTCCTTCCTCCCTTTCCTAGAAAGACAGGGTGTGTGTGTGTGTGTGTGCACATCAGTGTGCATGCGCCTGCCTTTGTGCAAATGTTGGTGTGCTGGTAGCTCATGCGTTTATCTATTGAGTTGACTTATGCATTCATTGGTTGAATGCATAAGTTCCATTGACTTATGCATTCATTGTTGTTCCATTGACTTATGCACTCATTGGTTGATTCTTGTATGACCTTGACCTTGGCGAATGGGGACGATGCTCTAACCAAGGACTGCCCCGACCTGGGATCAAACCCATGACCTTGGCGAATGGGGACGATGCTCTAACCAAGGACAGATTGATAGGAGGTGGAAGAGAAGACTAGGTAATAGCTGGGGTGAGGGACCCTGTCAGGGACCAGCTTCTGGGCTCCTTGTGGGTGACGGCACAGCCCCAGGACTCACTGCTTCAGTAAACGATTAGCGAGCACTCGCTGGGTACCAGGTCCCGGCACAAGATGATTCTGCCCCTCACGTCACAGAAAACACTGAGGCCGACAGGTAGGCTCCTGCTCTTCTCTCTGTGCAGGGGCTGTCCTGCCTGTTTCAGAGAAAGGAGCCTCGCCGGCTCACTCTGCTACCTGGGGTCAAGGTTACACGCTTCCCTTCCTTAGCGCCGTGGTTCATCCGTTGGCCCTTCTCTTGGGCGGATGTTCACCCATTGGAGCCATCTCCACTTACAGAAGTCGCAAAATAGCTCTTCCCGTCTCCCCTCTTCCTGACTGGGCACATTTCTTGAGGGAATAGTGTGTATTCCACCGGTCATTCCTTTTTCTACCCATTACCCTTTGGCTTCTAGTTCCTAAAAAAAATGTTCTGAGTAAGGGTACCAGTGACTCCTCCTCAGCCTGCTTTCATCACGGTCCTTGTAATACCGGGCGCACGAAGCAAGTGATGCTGACAGCCTTTTTCTCCTGAAACGATTCCTGTGACTCTCTGGTAGCTGAGAAGGCTCCTTTCCTGATTTCTCACCCCCTAAATGTTGCTGTCCCCGAGGCCAGGAGTGTACTAGGCATGCAATAAAGATTTGCCACAGGAACAGATAGGATAAGAGAAAGTTTTGTCCTGTTCATTTTTCTTAACTGGTTTTGACACCCCAGTCCGTGTACGTGGGGCCTCCCTGGAGCATCAAGAGTAACAGAGAAAGCAAGGTCTTGTAAAAGGATATGGTGTCATCTCCTCTCACCTCAGCCTGTTGTGGCCCAGGTTCCACCCCTTGTGGTTCTTCACAAGCTGCCCCACCCAAAGATGGTACTTCCCCTCGCCTCATACTCACTGGTGCTCAAAACATCCCCCTTGACCTTGCCAATGATCTCCAAATATTGAGGTGGATGGTGCCTTCTAACCTCACGTTGGGACATGGACTGCATGGGGTTGGGGAGGACGCGAGAGTAAGAATCTGGACCTGCACACAAAGGGAGGTGCAGTGCTGTCCAGGAAACAACGCACAATTGTTTCTGCTTGTGTTGCCTTCTTCAGTTTTTCTTTATAATCCTCGCAGCTGGTGTGGGTTTTGTACTGGACGCCTATGCCTCACCTACACATTACTCCCTTCCAGCATCCTCTCTTCCACATTTCTTCTCTACTTAGTACAGATTATTCACTTCGTCAGCCAACTCCAGCATCTTGCCCGATAGCACCTTTAAAGATGACGTCATCAACTCCTGTGTTTCCACCCGGATGACCCACGCGTATCTCAAACTTAATATACACTTTGTGTCCAAATCCGCTTTGTGTCCAGTTGTGATTTTGTGGACCATCAGTCCTCCTTGCTTCTTCTTTTATTTTTTTAGAATAGTTTATTATTGATTTTTTTTTTTTAGAGAGAGAAAGGAAGGGAAAGGGAGAGAGAGAGAAATATCGATGTGAGAGCAGAACATCGATCGGCTGCCTCCTGCACACCCCCTACCGGGGATAAAGCCCGCAATCTGGGCATGTGCCCTGACCAGGAATCAAACCAGCAACCTTTCTGCTGGGACAATTCTGAACCAACTGAGCCACACAGGCCAGGACAGTCCTCCTTGCTTCTTAATTTTATCCTTGGTGTCTACCCTATTCTCCCAGTGTATGTATGTGCACATGTGTGCATATGCGTGCACACACACACACACACACACACACACAGGATCACTACATTTGATTGAGGTTTCACATCTATCCTGTCCTCTCCTCAGCTAGTGCATTGGGCCTCATTCAGGCCTCCTCTCTTATTTTTATTTTTTTATTTTTATTGATTTCAGAGGGAGAAACATCAATGATGAGAGAGAATCATTGATTGGCTGCCTCCTGCAGGCCCCCTACTGAGGATCGAGCCCGCAAAGGAAGGTGGAGACATCTCTGGGCAAAGGGGGGGTAGGTTGGACTGGGCGTGCATAGAGAACGTGGGGTGCTCCTGAGAGACTGGTCCCTGCTTTGTTCTGGAGCTCTGGGCCCACTTTGTCTGAGTGAGGGGTGTGGCTGTGTGGCTGAGCAAAAAGGATCTCACTGACACATTTCCTGTCCCTCCAGGTTGTTCTTCGTGGGCTCCCGTGAGGGCCACCTCCCAGACCTTCTGTCCATGATCCACATTGAGCGTTTTACACCCATCCCTGCTTTATTGTTCAATGTTCTATCCACCGAGCTAAACCGGCTAGGGCAGGCCTCCTCTCTTATGGCAGTTATCATGGATGAGCTTGTCTGGCCTTCTGTCCATACCCTCGTCTCTCCCTGTTGATGCTACCAGCGTCTCTGCGTTAAATCTTGTCAGGCCTTTTCTTCAGAGCCACAGCTGGCTCTCATGCTTGTTCAGACTCCACAGTATGTCCGCATGTGCAAGTTCTTCCCAGCACACTGCTCACACTCCTTATCCTAGGACTACAAGCATTCTAGTACCAACCTTTAGAGAGGCCGCACTGTTCCGCCTCCAAGCCCCTTTTGCCTTTGCCCGTGCTGTTTCCCCACCCACCACTCGCCTCTGCCAGACTCCAGCTCGTCTTCCCAGCCCAGACGTGGTCATCTCTTGCGAAGCTTTGTGTTCCCCAGTCCGCCCCTAAGCCTTGCGAGGGCGATGTACTGCATGATGACCTGCCTGCCCTGGGTGGTGCTCATTTCTCTGCTGCTCTGTTTCCCAGTCAGTCGGGCTCTTTATGTGCAGAGAGGGAGCCTGGGTTGTCTCTTTGAGTCCAGGTTTGCTCTAGCCCCGTGGTCGGCAAACTGCTTTGGCCCCTTGAGTGTGGCTCTTCCTAAGCCTTAGGAGTACCCTCATTAAGTTAATAACAGTGTACCTACCTATATAGTTTAAGTTTTAAAAAGTTGGCTCTCAAAAGAAATTTCAGTCGTTGTACTGTTGATATTTGGCTCTGCTGACTAATGAGTTTGCCGACCACTATCACACGTCAAGAGCTCAGAGAAGATCTGTGAGGACACAAGAGAAGTCTGGCTCCTGTGGGGGGGGTGTGCAGGAGGCAGCTGATCGATGATTCTCTCTCATCCTTGATGTTTCTATCTTTCCCTCCCTATCTGAAATCAATGAAAAAATATATTAAAAAAATCATATTTAGAGCCCTGGCCAGTATGGCTTCAGTTGGTTGGGTGTTGTCCCATGTACCGAAAGGTCGCCATTTTGATTCCCGGTCAGGGCACATGCCTGGGTTGTGGGTTCGATCCCCAGTTGGGGCACGTGCAGGAGGCAGCCAATCAATGTTTCCTATCTGAAATCAATAAAAAAATATATTAAAAAAGTCATATTTAGAGCCCTGGCCAGTATGGCTAAGTTGGTTGGGTGTTGTCCCATGTACCGAAAGGTCGCCTTATCTCAAACTTAATATACACTTTGTGTCCAAATGCCCTTTGTGTCCAGTTGTGATTTTGTGGACCATCAGTTCTCCTTACTTCTTCTTTTATTTTTTTTTAGAATAGTTCATTATTGATTTTTTTTTTTTAGAGGTGCTCATTTCTCTGCTGCTCTGTTTCCCAGTTAGTCGGGCTCTTTATGTGCAGAGAGGAAGCCTGGGTTGTCTCTTTGAGTCCAGGTTTGCTCTGGCCTATCACACGTCAAGAGCTCAGAGAAGATCTATGAGGACACAAGAGAAGTCTGGCTACTTTTCTTTAAAAAGCCATTGTGTTTCCCTGGCGGGTGTGGCTCAGTCGGTTGAGCATGGTCCCATGCACCAAAAGCTTCAATTCCAGATCAGGGCTCATGCCTGGGTTGCGGGCTTGATCCCCAGTAGGAGGCGTGCAGGAGGCAGCCAATGGCTATTTCTCTCTCTCCCTCTCCCTCTCCTTTCCTCTCGCTCTAAAAAATGAATAAAAACATAGTAATAATAAAAGTCATTGTGTTAAGTATGAAACTTATGGGATGGCAGAGTGAGGGTACCTCTGGTGGGGTGGGTTAGAGTGCCAGTGGGTGATGGCAGGGTGAAGCATTCGTTGGGTGCTGGTGGGGGACTGTGATTGAGAGAAGTGGGGGTGTCTGTGGGTGATGGTGGTGCCTGGGTAACCGTGGGGTAGGGCATTTATGGATAATGGTGAGGTGCCTCTGGTTGAGGAAGGTGGAGACATCTCTGGGCAAAGGGGGGGTAGGTTGGACTGGGCGTGCATAGAGAACGTGGGGTGCTCCTGAGAGACTGGTCCCTGCTTTGTTCTGGAGCTCTGGGCCCACTTTGTCTGAGTGAGGGGTGTGGCTGTGTGGCTGAGCAAAAAGGATCTCACTGACACATTTCCTGTCCCTCCAGGTTGTTCTTCGTGGGCTCCCGTGAGGGCCACCTCCCAGACCTTCTGTCCATGATCCACATTGAGCGTTTTACACCCATCCCTGCTTTATTGTTCAATGT